CCTGCCGCCATTACCCATTCATGCGAACCGTCCGAGTTGCTGATTTCACGTCAATGGCAACCGAAACCCAGTGTCCACGCGAATGCCCTATCCAACGACGAGCGACACCGAAACGAGGGAGGTCCCGACGAATTTCCGACAGAGTCATTGATCTCGAAAGGATACTCATGCACCGACAGATTGCAGATGCACCCTGATACGCGCGACGCGACTGGAAAGCCCTCGCGACGAGAATCCTTCGTGACGCGACCGAGACATTCGAGTAGACACGCAACGGAACGTATCTGCTGAAAATCTAAACCAGTCGACTACGCTGCTCGCGAGCCGAGAGTCGTCCTATCGTTCCCGACGAGCCGGATAGGGCTGTTGCAATTAATCCAGGCGCGATGGACAATTAGGATACATCGCAGGAGAGAGTCCGCGGTGTGTGAATGAGGATAGAGGATCGTGATGTCTTACCTGGGTCATGACAGGGGTGGTATCTTCATGTTTCCGATTCGCGATGGAGCTCAACACGGTTGTACGTCGTTGACGGGACGTCGGTATATCCTGGCTAGGTGGGACGACGAAAACGACGGCACTGCAATGGTCGGCCACCACTTCCACGCCATAACACGTCCCCGGAAACGCGCGACGGTTTACTCACATGACAGTTCGCGGGTATTGGCGGAGCCGGGGGAGGGGGTGGAGGGGGGACCGTGGTGCGTGCAGGGTAGGGGCAGACTCCTGGCAGATGAATCGCAACGGGAAAATGGTCCGCTCGATTTGGGCGGCCCCCGAGCGACGCCGACCGATTTTTCCGCGACCTGGAACCCGGTTAGCGGACGCGGCTCTCCTCCGTTGGGTAACTGACTATCGTCCCTCCGACAGCCCCGCGATGTTCGACGGTGGCTGCGGGATTGTTGGGGGTTCGCGCGGCGGCCGAACGAACCAGAACGAGGAGGAGGTTAACGGAGAAAGGTGAGGACCGAGCGAGACGGAAAACCTAGGGGCTACGGTGGTGCGTCACGCCGCGGCGCCACCGTCGACCATCCCTGGCGTCGGACGAATTTGACGGGGGAGGACCGCCGACGGAACCGGTATTAAAAATTTGCCAGTGGAGACGGGCTCGCCGAGCCGACGGAGATTAAAGCGGTCGTTTGAGGGACGGTCGCGCGACGAGACCGGAATAATGTATATGTAGATCTCCCGATTGGTATTCTTCGAGTAATCATTCTAGGTGATCACGGTTGCATATCCATGAACTATGGAGGTACCATTCGAGTGCATGTATCGTACTACGGAACGCTACGTGCGAATTGTTGGGGTATAGTTGACGGTGCAACTATATTTGGTGTTAAGGTAATTTGACGTTTTTGAAGTTTCTGTGTTCGAGAATGATTTTCGGGAATCATTGTGACGCGATTGATTTTGTTTATCTGGGTGCTCGGTTATTTCTAAATAAATTGGAATTGATTTTATGCGAAGATAATGAGGCGCAGATAACGAAGTTAAAAATATATTAGACGATTAATCGAATTAACAGATATCGGGGTAAACGATTTTCAAAATTTATCGAGCGAACAGGAATTGAAGATTCGTTATCATGTAAACATAAACTATAGACGGAGAGGCGGTAAAAAGTTTGTTATCTGCCAGACGTTGTACGATACCAAAGCGTTCGTTCACTCATTTGTTCTAATATTGCCATTGATAAATGCTTTCTAATGTGTAATGAGAGTTTTTAGATGCAGAGTTTAAAATTTCTGTTTCTTTGCGTAGTTCCTATCGGAAAAGGATATTAATAACTAACCGAAGATTTAAATGGTTTCTTTTCGAACATATTAAAAAAATATAAATAACTTCTCATTATTTTACACTACAAATCCAATTAGTATATATTTATTACTTCTGTGTATATTAAAAAAATATATATACTGTATACATTGAATTCATTGACAACATACATTTATTGAAAGGTTATGTATGATCGTGAAAAGTTGCAAAGACTATGACATACGACAGTAAACCTTCAATATGCAATCTATTATACGATGCAAAAATGTGATAAACCCTGTGAAGAGTAGCGTTATTTATCATACTTATAATTACATAGATCATCGGCAAAGATTGGCGGAATAACAATCGACCGTGCACATGCAGCCGATAACTCTTATCTAATGTGTATCAAGCAGAAACAGGCGGGCGCGTGAATTTTAACGGGTGAATATAAACAGAGGGCGCAACCAGGATTCCAACAGTCTCCTTTTGCACAACGCGGTGGTCTCGTTGTCCGTTAAACAACGCACCAATTCCGTAGCCGTAAATAACAGCGTTCAAATTTAACATTGACACATTTTTTTTTTAATTTTAATCACCTTAAAGTATTAAAGGTGTGCTAAGTAATTGGAGACTCGTTATGATTTGAATATCGTCACGCACTGATTTCACCGTTGACAGATATCAATCAACTATAAAAGTAAGTAACGTTATTGCAAACATTATTTTTCTACATGTATTTGAATAATTGATAAAAAGTTCTAATATTAGCATGGGCTCTATAAAAAATCCTTGAATGCTCTGACAAGTTTTGTTTACCGAATAATAAACAGTCTTCAAGGTATCAATACATTAAAAACGGAAGTTGCTCCGCTGACACCAATTAAAAAATACGCTCTTTGACAACCGTAACAGACAGTATACTTTTCTACTTTCTATGAAGAACAAATTTCTCTTGTACGGTAACTATGTTTAATGGCACAAATGTTTTCAATTATTACGTAAAAGAATGAACAAATTTGAGGTTAAAAAAATTGCTTAAACAATCGTGAAATCGAAAATCAAATTCGGCTGAAGTTTTCACAATGATTACGATTGATTTTATGAGAGATTCTGTTAAATCATTTGAAAATTAACAGACGAGTAGGGAAAATTAATCTCTGATCCTTTCTCGATATAGTTCACGCGTACTTACCGATTCCTTCTCGCCTTAAATTTGAATTTGATACATATTTTCGGATCAATAAACGGTATCCTCAGTCGATAAAGAGATACCGGAATCTATCCTCAAGCGATCGATTTTTCCTTTCGATTAGGTAATCGAAATGAAAGTATGGAAAGCAATGCTGTCCGTAAAACCGGTGCTGTTCGAGAATCAGGTGCGTTGTTTAGGATATTAATTTCTTCTATCTCGTTGATTCCCTCGAAACGGACGGTTAATGTCATAAATGATAATTAAAGATATCAGCAAAATTTGAAAAAAGTTTCATTTTTTTCCGTAACACGTTAAAGTAATCTGCCCGAGAAAAATATAAAAGTGATACTCTAAGGTGACAGTGGTTCTCAGTTCCAACGTTTACCGCAAATGGTCCGCCGCGCACTGAAACGTGTTCGACGTCGCGGATTATTTCCATCATAGAAATGTCAAGTTTATCGTGTCGTGTGCGCGGCTTGTTTGTAAACACTTCCAATTATGCGAACGATCGTAATTGGAGAATTAACGATCGGCGAACGCGTCGAAAATTAATGGTGCATTCACTTGATCACCGCGCATTACTCGGTGACTGATCTCTCCTTACCGCGTATTCATCATTTATGGCGAAAAGTTAAATGCATATGTTTGTTTGGTTAAAACATAGTACGTGGCATATTTGCGCCGAGTAAATGCTCGCGAGGTAAACGCTGGAAGAATTTGACGAGTCCTTAAGAATTTTCAGTGTACGAGAACCGGAGACACGTAAGATAAACCACTGGTATTCTAGGTAGTTAAAGACAAAGGTGATATTCGCGGATAAAATGTGCTTACGATTGTCTTTCGTAGGCGTAATTGTACCGTAATAGTTACACGGGCAATCGGCGCACTAGTGTGCAGGACCGTTCCCTGTACAAAAGGAAATCAATGCTCACACCACCAACGACAGTGATTGTGTGTAAAAATGAAATGGGGCATTGGGTGAAAGTACTCTTGGCTTGGAGGTCTTATATCAGATCAGTCTGCCAAGAGCCGTGCAGGATGTGGATGGCAATTTTGCTCTGCTCCTAACAACCAGATCTCCTCCTGGCACGGACAAAGTTTTTAAACATTTGTTAGAATTATTGTTTAACAAAATTATGATACCGGAGTCGTAGCCCATTAATAGTCGGTTCAGTGTACGTGTGCAGTGAAAGGAATTAGTAAAAGAAACGTGCATTTTTGCAGAATGTTGCAGATGGTATGGATATGGTGTTTGCTTGTGTCAGTGGCAGATTTGACATTGGCTCTTGAAAATGGTCTTGCGAAAACACCGCCCATGGGCTGGCTTGCTTGGGAGCGATTCAGGTGCAACACAGATTGTAAAAATGATCCTGACAATTGTATCAGGTGAGAGTGTTAATCTTGTAATCTTTTTTTTTCCCCTTTTCTTTTCTTTTTAACTTTCTATAATGTCCGTCTGCGACTGTTTTATTTGATTGCTTTTTTTATTTTCTTTGTGGAAATGTAATATTGTTTTTGTTTTATAACTTTTTAACTCTTATTTAATAGTGCAACACGATTATACATTATAAAGTGAAACTTCATTAGCATCTCTGTTATGTATCTCTATATCTAAGGAATATTGCAACCAATTCCACTTAGTAGATGAATATTGAGAAATGCAAAACATGATTTCATTCTTAAAGTGACCTATATGAATGATCATGCAAGAAAATAGCAAGCTCTTACAGAATTTTCTTTTTTGTAAAGCCAAACTATAAATAGAAAACTTATAAATATGTTGGAACACATGTTTACTCATGATTGCAATATATTTGTGCAGACAAAAATATTTTAAAGTTATATATAAGTACACAAATTTTTTTAGAGTGATTTTGTTTTTATAAAGGTTTCCTGTATTTAAGTTTTCACTGGGGTATTTATGTTTACCTGTATTAGGTATTTAATGATACTTAATGAAAATCTAATTACCCATAACATTATTGCTATATCATGCATGTTGTAATGATGAAATAAAAAAAATTCAATGTTTTTGTTTCTTAATATGTGGATTAGAACAGAATTAATTAATGTAATATGTGAATCAAAGATAATGACTTCAGCACTGATACTTAATAATATCATTTAAGGCTCTGACGTAGTTGTTATGCAAATTTGCTTATTAAGCTTATATTACAATGAACAGTTAAATCATTTGTTTATGCCGATAAGTGATACATAATGATATATAATCACCAACCACCAATGTTTATGTCAATTTTGAGTTTGACATGATTATTTAATGTTTCTTGTCATGTACAAGGACTAAAAGTAAAAGAATTTGTATTATTATGAGACAAATGAACCAATTATTGAAAATTTAATTATTACATGTTATAGTGATCGACTCTTTCGTACAATGGCAGACATTATTGTAGCAGAGGGGTATGCTGCTGTTGGATATGAGTATGTTAATGTTGATGACTGTTGGTTGGAAAAAGACAGAGATGTTAATGGTCAACTTGTGCCAGACAGACAAAGATTTCCATATGGAATGAAAAGTCTTGCAAACTATGTATGTGTCTATTATTTCGCCTAATGTTGAACACTATCTTTCTACTTCTACAATTTATAACTTTCGCTGTGTAGATTCACTCGAAAGGTCTTAAATTTGGGATATATGAAGATTTTGGTAATTACACATGTGCTGGTTACCCTGGCATATTAGGACACTTAGAAACAGATGCACTTACTTTCGCATCTTGGGATGTTGATTACGTGAAATTGGATGGTTGTTATTCTCATCCGACCGAAATGGACAGAGGTATAACTTAAATAAGTAGAAAACATATATTATTTGACTCGAATTCTATCCAATGGTTTACGATTTTATAAAATATTTTAGGATATCCCGAATTTGGATTTTATTTAAATCAAACCGGCCGTGCTATGATATATTCTTGTAGTTGGCCAGTCTATCAAATTTATGCTGGAATACAGGTTGGTGCTCCCAATACCATTTGTAGAATATTATACGAATCAATATTTGAAATCATACAAATTTCAGCCAAACTTTACTGCCATAACGCAACATTGCAATCTTTGGAGGAATTTTGATGACATTCAAGATTCCTGGAACAGTTTAGAAACTATTATAGATTATTACGGGAACAATCAAGATGGGATTGTACCAAACGCGGGACCCGGCCACTGGAACGATCCCGATATGTTAATTATTGGTAACTTTGGCTTGAGTTATGAACAAAGCAAAACGCAAATGGCGTTGTGGGCTATATTGGCCGCTCCTCTATTAATGTCCGTTGATCTACGAACGATCAGACCGGAATACAAAGCTATTTTACAAAATAGGAAAATTATCGCTGTAGATCAGGATCCACTGGGCATACAGGGTCGGCGTATCTACAAAGTTAGTATACCGTAGTGACGTAGTTAGAATTTAAATTACAGTAAAACAAGCAGAATGAAAATTCAACAAAATTAAGAAAACAGTGTAGGCTTTGGAATACGTTAGTAAGAATTCTCTTCTGCTCCTTAGCATAAAGGCATTGAAATATGGGCGAGGCCGATAACTCCCATCTACCAGAATTACTACTCTTACGCCATAGCATTTGTAAATAGGAGAACGGACGGCACGCCGTCCGATGTGTCTGTTACATTAAAAGAACTTGGACTCCAATATCCTGGAGGATACAGTGTAGAGGTACGTCCGTTTTGAAATAATCCTAATTTATAATGGAACCAAAATGAAACCAGCTTGAACGGATACATTCTTTTTCTAGGATTTATACGAAGACGTGAATTACGGCGTCTTGACGCCGCAAACGAAAATAAAAGTCAAAGTAAATCCATCCGGTGTTGTGATACTGCGGTGCGATCTGCATTTAGAAGATGTTTTCGATACAAATCAATTTCCACAATTCTCACCTTTGAATCAACATTTTAAAGTGAGACAGAATTCGTTTAAGTGACGCGAATTAAACGATTAAGAAATTTTTGACTGTAATTTACCATTTATATAATACTTGACAACACAATGTTACCGTATTTTGTTAAGAAAGTAGAAAATAAAGAATTTTATAATCTACGAGCGTTCAGTGGAAATCCGTAGGAAGTAATTTATTTAGAAAAATTACAGTTCTTTGAAAAAGAAAGAATACAATCTTATTATTTACAATATCTGCTGCAGTCGTATGGAATGTGTTGCATCTGTTTTGATACGCACCAGGCGTATGCGTTATCAAACATACGCTGCCATGGTGAGACCTTGTATCTCGTCCAATCTGTTGGTTTCCAAGGCCATTGCCACATCTGCGTGCATCGTTCAGGATGTGGCATCATCGCTAAATGTCGTCCATCCGCGGAGCAAATACCAGCAATACCATCTAAGGTAATACGTAAATCATTTCATTCATGATTCATTAATTCATGAATTCATTAAGACAGTGATTTTTAACTTGATGCGAGAAATGTTTAAGGACCATTGTATCAAGAGATGAATCCTTACCTGTACTTCCATTTGGATTCAGAGGGTATTGTTCGGTCGGGTTACCATAATCATCTGTGTATCTAATAGCTAAGCAATTGTTCTCTTTAACTTTGTTCAAAATATCATTATTTTTGAAAGTGAATCTTCCTTCGCCGTGTGCGACCCACACGCCCAAGACGCTATTCTCCATTCCACTTAACATGATGGATGGTGACTTATCAATTCTGACTGTACTCCATCGACACTCGAACCTTTCGGATATGTTGTGATCTAAGAAAATGTCTGGCACTTTAGTGTCACCTGTAACAGAAAGACGATATAATCACGCATATTAATTATATTCATGAGTTTCACAAGCGTTGATCTCTTACGCCAAGCAAATTTTATTACTCAACGGAACGTACCGGTTTCGTTTCCTATCCATCCCAGCAGAGACATTAATTGGCATCCGTTACAAACACCTAAACTGAATGTGTCCTCGCGAGAAACGAATTTTTTTAATTGCTTCTCCAGAGATGGGTGGAAGAGAAGACTCGCGGCCCATCCTTTAGCAGACCCCAGAACGTCTGAAATTCGAGATTGATTTAAACTGATTACACAAGGTATACTAACAGTGACAGTTCTAAAAGAATTAGCTTTTGTAAACGACGCACCAGCATAACTGAAACCACCAGGAAATATAACACCCCTGAACCTATCAAATGTCACTTTGTTATCTAACAGATCTTGCATCGTTACATCCCAAACTTCAAACCCGGCTTGCATCAATGACGCCGCCATTTCTCTGTCTCCGTTTGTTCCTTCTTCCCTTATCACGGCTACAGTGATATTTGCTGCACGAACAATATAAAATATAAAATTTACTGTAACTCGGATAGACACAGAATTAAAATCTTACATACGAGTTCTGTGGATTTCAGCAGGTCGGACATTAGGGTCAAAGGATAACTTGTAAGCCGGAGCAGTTCTATTTTTGAGTCCATTGAACTCTTCCAATGCACACTCTATATTTGTTTGACGGCGTTCTAGTTGATAGCTAGTTTCTTCCCATACAGACATCAGAGACAACACTGTCGAGTTTAGAACAGTCTGATTCTGCACTTTAATATTTAGCTGAAACCATTAAATAACCGTAATGAAGATGGTTATAAATATTTATATTACTGACTTCATAGAAAATTCAAAAGAAATACTTTTGAAGAGATTCCGAATCCTCCGGATCGGCCAATTGAGTAAACAGGAGCATTGAATTGTTTAAATACATCCAACGCATAATGATAACTTTCTTCATCAACTTCCAACACCCATCCTACTTCTTCAGCGAATAAAATTTGTATAGGAGTTCCTAATTTGTGAGAGATGTTAACATCTATTCCGGAGATACCACCGAAGCACATTTCTAAAAGACACGTGATGAGTCCTCCATCGCTGACATCGTGTCCTGCTAATATTTTCCCCTCTGTAAGAAGATTAAAAACATTGAACTTCATATGCATCTTCAACAGATACTGAAACAGTGTAATTCACCTGCAATCAACTGTTGTGTAGCTTTAAAAGCATTTTTTAACAAATCTGCATCCTCTACATCTGGAACATCGTTACCAAGTGATTTATAAGCTTGAGCTAAAGCAGTACCGCCAATTCGACTCTGTCCATTAGATAAATCGACGAATAACAGCCAACCGTTTTTCCCTGCTGCAGGTGCTTTTAGATCTGGCGTTACTACCTACAATAATATAATGTTAATTAAATGTAAAAGATTTATTTTTAGAAAGCAAATTCTCCTGAAGAATCTTGTTAATTACCTGTTGAACATTCGGACAAGGAGCGTAGCAAGAAATCACAAGCGTTCCTGGTGCTTTGACAACCTCTTCACCGATTCGAGCAGCCATGCTTAGAGAATCTTTACCTCCATCAATCGCAATGCCAAGTTCGTTCATCAATGAACACATTGCAGAACATGCATCGTATAACGCTGCACCTTCTCCTGGTAACTTCGCAGCCCACATCCAATTTCCACTGCACTTAACATCCTACAAACAGCACGTGTGAGTCATAGAAAAATAGACAAATGTTTAATTGAATCTAATAAGGAAGTATATCAACATAGATACATCTAATACCTTTAAGTCTGAAATGTGTGCAAATACTAAGTTGCTTAACGCCTCTGCCACAGTCATACGAGCTCCAGCTGCTGCGTTCACCAAACCCTTTATTGGCTGTTCTCCAATGGACGTGGCTATACCAACCTATATAAAATAATAGCTACATAAATCCTGACATTACTGTTGAAAACTATTTTTCTTTCTATGTTTTGCCCTTTCTTACCGTTGAGAAATGAGAAATTGCAGCTACAGCAACATCAGCAAGAGGAGTATGCAAGGGGCCAACACATTGTTGCTGCGCAATCAATCCAGTTACGCAACGGTCAACTTTGTTAGTTAAATATCGTTTGCTCCCAACTGAAGGCAATCGCAAGACCCTTTCCAACACAGATTGGACAGTTAAATTCTCTGGTAATGATAAAGAGGGTAAGTGTGTTTTCTGCCTCTGAAGATTAAACGTCTGCAAAATATATTCAGTTTAGATTTTGTCACACATAATATTTGTCTTTTTTACTATTTGTAGAAATACTCACCTTACGAGGCATTTTTCCAAGTACCAATTCTAAGTCTAAATCAACCGGATGCCTCGTATCTTGTTTATAATTCTCATCTAGGTATTTTGATACATCACAGTTGTTTTCTTCAGAAAGAATAATTTTTCCGTTTCCGGTAACAGTCCCTACGAAATTAATAGGGCATTTCTCCCGTGCTGCTATTTCCTTTAGTAAATCAGTGTCTTCCGGTTTACACAGAATTGCATCATTTTCTTGGTATTCAGCACCCCATAATTCTAAGGTACTGAGACTTGAATCGCCTAACTCGAATTTCTTAGTAAAAATAACAGCACCTGCGGGTTCTACCAGCTCCTTTAGAACGTTACCTAACGGTATTTAAAACACCCATTAACGATGCAATATTATCACGTAATTTCTTATGGTTACCATGTAAGTACGTGAATATTATTTTTACCATTTCCTCCAGCTCCTTGATCGTGTATACTAAGTATTGGATTCTTCTGTCCCATTTCAGTGCACGCACGAACTACTCTATTCAATTTTTGCTCCATTTCTGCATCACCTCTTTGTACTGCTCCAAAATCGAGTTCTGAATTATTGTCACCTTGCACCTAATAATATTTAACTTCTTAATTGATCAGAAGATGGAAGATGTAATAATGAAGAACTTGAAAATTAAACTACCTCGATGGAACTTGCTGAGCCACCTCCTACTCCGATTCTATATACAGGACCACCTATTTTGATTACTTCCATACCTAAAATCATTAATCTTAAATTGTTCTGTTCTATATTTAGTTATCTTCTATACAACAGTTTTTTCAGACCTTTTTGTGGTGGAACTTTATGGGACATATCAGCATCCATTGTACCCAATCCTCCACTGAACATTATGGGCTTGATCCATTCACGTCGTATACCTTCATTATCTACCATACCAAAAGAACGAGAGAACCCAGATATAACTGGCTCACCAAATTTGTTGCCATAATCAGATGCACCGTTACTAGCTTCGATTATGATGTCTAATGGACTAGCCATGTTGGTGGGATACAGAACACTTTCTTCTTCCCATGGTAGGTCATATCCTAGAAAGAAAATGATATCGTTGATGAGAACAGTGAACTGTCTGGAATTTGCAAAATATTTAAAAATAAAATGAACCTGGAATATACAAATTTCCAACAGAATAACCAGCAGTCCCAGCAATATAATTTCCTCCCCTACCAATGCCTTGAATATCTCTCAATCTGCCTCCAGTTCCAGTTGTAGCTCCACTGTAAATTATAATAATTCTAAGATGTTTGATATCTGTAATAATTTTTGTAATCGTTTACCTAAATGGAGCAACACCAGTTGGAAAATTGTGAGTCTCAGCAGTGAATATAAGATCTTGATCTACATTCTCTAAACGAAAAGAGCTACATTTGTGAGTTTTGTTAGGCCTTAGTGTCTTCACTTGGTAGCCTTTGATCGCACTACTGTTATCACTAAACTTAATTGTATTATTTGGATTCGAGTATTTCTGTGTCTCTATGATCATGTCGAGCAACGATCTTTCCATTTCTTTATCATCAACAACAATGTGACCTTTGAAGAACCAATGACGGCTATGTTCACTATTAGATTGCGCCAAATCGAAACATTCAACGCTAGTTGGATTCCGTTTCAATTTACTAAAGAACAGGTCTGTATAAAAATCTAAATCCCAATTGTCAAATGCTAGACCTGTATAAAGACTATAATAAGTTTCATCTTGCACAGAGTATTTTATTGTAATTCATTTTAAATTTGTACCTAATTTCAAATTAACTTCCTCCAATGCTTTTCGACCACTCTTCAGAATATCTACTTCGAACCAGTTTTCAGGTCTGAAACCATGATCAAATGTTTCTATAGGTTTCATGTATCTGCATTGAGTCATTTTATCGTGCAATGCATCTGTTATCTACAAAAAATTAAAAATATATTAGAACTGGATTGTTGCTTTTCCTTTTCAATATTATTACAATTTTTGTATACATACTGCTTGTTCCAAATTCTTGTCAACTTTTTCATTATGTTTAATGCAGTATCTAACAACTGATTCAATTCTTGTTATCTTATGTAAATGTACAGACTTGCAAATTGATACAGCATTACTGGAGAATGCTGTAGAAAAGTTCAACCTGCAAAAATATAAAAATTATGTTACTTATAGTACACTATTTTCTAATATGATTATTTGATTTGCTTTACCTTGGGCCAATCTCAATAATCAAATTACCATCCAATTTTTCATCGAAGGCACTATGATTCTTCAGACTGTGATGTTCAAATGGAGGAATAAGAATCCATTTTAATAGTTCTGATTCTTTATCACTTAAAGGTTCCTTAGTTTCAATATAGTAGCACAATTCTGTTTCTAATCCAGTTATTGAACTGGATATTTGAGCCAGGCTATTGAATTTGTTTTTAAGCTGACCAGATCGCAATCCAGGTAATTTGTAGAATTTTATAATACCCATGATCTATAAATCAATGATCCTAGACAGATGAAACACAAGAGAATTAACAAACAAAAGAAAACAGTATAAAAATTGGAAACACCACTGTGCAACCATGCAAATAGACCATAATACTGAGTTAATAGTGATGAATTACATTCAGTCAGACCCCCTGGTATGTTATTAGTGGTACCATTTATCAGTATGGTAATTGCAAAATAGAATATCCATGTTATTATTTCAAACAGAGTAAACTTGGGTCAAAAGGTCATCTTGCTCAATAATATTATCACTTGATGAGATTATACGTGTATTCATATTTTCTTATTCTTAGAAAGATTACAACTATTTTGTTTTCACGAAAAATACAAACTTAATAATATTAGAAATAAATCTTAATTTTATTTAAAATACTTAAAAAATTATAAAATGGTACCAGTTAAATCTGTGTATTTGGATTCATTTGCATATATCTATGCACATGATTGTTATTCCATTACAATTTACGTCATAATTTTACAACTGATGAAATTATCAAATTAATGTCAAAACATGTTGAGGGACATATTTTTTAATGCAAAATAATATCCTACTCTTCAAACACAAAAACAGATTAATCAAATTCATGTTTATATGTAATGTTACGTACACATTAAGGAAAATATATGTCATATTAAAGAAAAATTGAATTAAAATGAACATAGTTTAAAAGCATTTATTATTTATTTCTAGACAGACCTAATTAACTACTAGAATTTATAGAGCCTTGTGTAGGCATGCCATGCAACAGGTTCTTAACTAAATCTGTAATTATTGAAAGCAATGGAATCATGGTAATTATTTGTGTTTCATGTTCCCATTATTTACTGTCTAAAAGCCTTACCTTTCTTCATTCGTATTTCTGATATTTACAAAATAATACAAAGGGTTCTTGCCCCTGTGTTGTCAGGTTTCTAACTTAATATCATCAGACAGTACATAACCTTTTTATTTTTTTACCACGTGCTTTTGTTTACCAATAAACCAATCACATATAAATATTATTTCGTATAGAAATTGTCTTTAAAATTGATGAATTAATTTATTAGGTTACACATTAATAATATCTACAGTAATACACATGTTAAAATATAAATAATCTTTACATATTTATTGCTATTGCTTTAAATGATGTATCTATTAGTAAATTGTGTTCCTTGCTCATCCTAGATAGAAATATACACTTTGTAGTCTTAACACATATATTTTTTTACATATTAAGAATCCTAAGCTATTTACGTTATACACATGTAAAATGTATCAAAACAACTAATACTACTGATGCATAATTTACTTAAATACAATATTACATTGACAAAATTTTCGCTACTTAAATTACCTAACCAAGGAAATCATAATTAGAGACGTCCTCGAATTGCTGATTCTGTGGATTACCAGGAGCCATTGGCCTGGTTGGCATTTGACCCCTGGCTCCAACAATTTGTTGCTGCAGTCCAAGTACTTGTTGCCTATACGGTGGTTGTGGCTGCAACAAAAAATGTACACATATAATTAAATTGATCGCTACCTTAATCCTTCTAAATCAAATATAAACATTGAATTTTATACTTGTTGTAATAAATGTCTGAGGCCCATATTTGAACCAGGGCGCATTAATCTCGGCGCGTTTGCTTGTTGATTGGCCATACCGACAGGATTAAGAGCTCTTTGCGCTTGCTGAGCCTGCACACAAATTTTCTATAATTAATTTTTTCTAGATCCGCAACGTACGATAAAGAAATCTTTCAAAGTATGTCACCTCCAATTGTTGTTTATACTGCATTTCTTGTTGTTGTGCAACTTCTAAATTTTGTTGAATCTACAAGAGTAATTTTGACATACGATATTACGTTTTAATATATTTCCTATATTCCTTTGACACTTCTTATACTTACATTCACTTCCAATTGCGACTTGTACTGCGCCTCTTGCTGTTGCGCGGCTTCCAACGTTTGTCGCAGCTGTTGGATTTTCAACAGGTTGTGGTGCCTAGCTATTTCTATATCGTCAAACGGTGGTCTCTGTTGGCCTATCATTGTGCCGGAAGATGTAGCAACCTGGGGACCAGTAATTTGGCCAGCCTGTCAATATTTTAATCGGGGCGACTTTTATGATTTATGTACATGTGAGTCTACGATGAATCAGTAATCTATTTTCTTCTTCTTTTGGTATGAAGTGATGATTCTTTTATAATTAAAATGTACTTAAGGATGTATATACTCTATTTTCATTGTGTAGTTTACCTGCATACTTATTTGATTTTGAGGACCAGCGGATGAAGTCAATGTTTGTTGCGCAGCATTCGAAGGGACTACATTTTGAGTTATCTGACCTCCTCCCATTGCCACAGTATTCGTTTGAGACATAAGAATGCCACCTTGTGATGTACCCGTAGTGGGCATTGGTCCAGTTATTGCATTTCCCTGTGCAGGTCCAGCCTGTGATATTTAATCAATATACCTCCATCTTTAAAGATTAATCATTTAACATTTCACAATGTATACCGACCTGTCCTTGTCTGATAGAAGCGTGAGATGTTTTCTGTTGTTGAATGACCTTTCGAAGACGGTCCACGAAACCTGACTGATCGTTTGGAATGAATCCTAAATATGTCCTTTTCTCAGCCGTGTACAGGAGAATAAGTACTTTTATGTCACAGCTCGGTGTCGGTGGAGGAAAAGTGAAGTGAACACACCCTGCCTGCAGTACGATTATTATCAGTAATTCCTCAAGACAGATATACGTATACATTTCAAAATCTATGAAATACTAACAAATCCAGAGCTCATAACTTTAGTCAAAGAGTCTAATGCCTCGCACGCCGTTGGATGGAACAAAACAGATTTAGAATTCTTCAAATAAGATCCTCCAATGTTTCCTATCAGATGCTTGGGCATCAATTGCATAAGTAGCTTCTGTGGCCAAGTATCGGCTTTCCTAGAGAACAGTTCAGTAATGTCAATATCATAAAAATGTTTGAACACAAATATTTCCTCTTAAAAGGAACTTACAATTCTGGATCACCGTCCTTCAAGTTTGCAGAAACTTGACAAGGCAGATGTCTTGTCTGTTTCTGTGTGTCCGAGGGTGCTTTGGCTTTCTCAACCCATTCGATCATACCTTGCCAAATCGTATGTCTTTCTCTTGCTGCTGCAATTTGTGGGCCAGCTACAGGTCCAGCGCTTATGTTACCCTAGAATATAAAAATCCACATGAATTCTCCAATAAAGATAAGTCACAGAATTCATATATTACATGAACTACTTAAAACTATTACCTGTGCTTGAGAATGTGGTACTTGCTGTTGCTGACTAACCGACGATACTGATGCCTGCGTTTGGGAAGCAGTCACCGTTTGTGGAACTTGTGTAGGTACAGACTGACTGACACATGACACTGTAAGTTGCGGTGCTCCTTGTCCATGAGACTGCTGAGCTTGCATAGGCATCGAAGCTTGTTGTTGTACGTTTTGCTGTTGTTGTTGCTGCTGCTGCAATCGCATGGTAAATGTCACTTGTTGCTGTTGTTGTTGTGTAAGTTGTTGTTGCTGTTGTTGCTGCTGCTGCTGTTGTTGTTGTTGCGCATTGGCAGCCATGACATTGGTATTGGCTACTAAAAGTGCATATAATATGGATTTTATTTACATTCTTAAACGTTTCCCCGTTGCATTCACATTAACATATTGTGAGTCAAGGTGTATGTATTGACTAGACTGATACTGAAAATATGAATTCATTATTACCGTCCATTCTTTGACCAAACGGTGTTACATTGAGTCCCAATGAAGGAGGCTGGTTCAATTGCGCTATCAAAGCACTGCTTTGTGTATTTGCTGGTCCAGTAGTTCCTGGTGTAACGAAAGGTCTCCACCTTGTGTGGCCTGTTCTTGCTGGCACACCTGTCGGGTGGTAAGTTGGTGGAGCAGATATTTGAGGATTGTAGGGAGGCCTTCCAGCATTCATAGCAGCCGCAATCGGTACTACTGTTTGATGAACCGACGTAATATTCTGAGGAGTTTGATTTCTGAATGGAGGACCCTGTTGTTGGGTAGGTTGAGCGATATTTTGTTGAACTTGATTTGTATTCGGACTGTCGTTACTTTGCAGTGGGCTCAATGGGATTTGAGCAGCAGTGCCTTGAGTAGGGTGAACAGTTCCTGGAAGCGGAGGACTAACAGGTCTTTCCTTCAAGTTATAGTTACGTAACAGCACCAAATGTCGTGGATCTTTAGCATAATTTTTGGTTTGAGATGACTGCAGATCTCCTCCAGCTTTTTCGAACAGCTTGAACAATGCGGGTATTTTTCTAGGTGACAGTATTGAAAGATTAATGTTTCTCTGAAACAAGAAAACATGCTTATACATCTGATATACAGTTTACATAGAAATTGTTTATATCAACATACCTCTTGATACAGAGCAGCCAGCTGCTCTATAGAATGGCCAGCAAATTTGTATGATTCCTGTATAACTGTTTGATATGGAGGAGAATTACAAATTAAAATGCAATGTTTTTGTGATGCTGTATTTGGTTCACGTCGTAATTGTAAATCCTCAAAACATTGTAATCCAGTGGCAAGACCCTCTCCAATATTTGCATAAGATTCTCCTTTCCCACCAACCATCCTATTTGTATATAAAATTTTTTATAAGTTAGAGGATTGCTAGATTAAAAAACTATACTTTTACTTACTCTAATTTATCTAGGACAAGTAATAACTTGTGGGGGTTAGCATAAGGTCCAAAAGTTTCCGTGCAGGGTGCTGGTAAACAGTCAGCAGCATGATATACCACTATACCGTACAATGTTGCACTATTCTAAGATCAAATGAAAATATTAAAATCATGAAATTTAAATTAGTATTGTTGCATTCACATCTGCATTACATTACCTCTGAAACATATTCTCTATCTTCAATGGAACCTTGATTAAAATATCTATAAATTAGAGAAGTTTCAGATGAATTAATTTGAACACATAATATAATAAAGTTTGAGTAAATATTATATGAGAATATAAATAAATAACTTAAAACTTACTCGAGTGTTGGAAGGAGATAATTTGTCCTGAGGTCATTAAGATAGGCTCCATTAACAGCTGTACCTTCAATGACAAATATTACATCTGCTTGTATGCCGTGTTCTGTAGGACCAGCCACCATTTTTATTATTTTGTCTACAATAATAACAATAATACAATAAGTCTGTACAAATATCTAAGGAATATAGATGTTTTCAAATAAGCTTATTCTTAGCAATAAGTGAACAATAATTTATAATATTTGAGAAAGAAAACAAGGAAATACAAACATTAATTTTGTATTTCATCATTATGATGATAGAACCTTAATTAAAGGAAATAAAGTCGCCCTATTTACTATTTTGAAAATTGTTAAAAATTTTTAATTACAAAGTCTTGTTATTTAATACTAAAATTAATTACACATTTATCAAATTTAAATACCTTGTTTTAGCGTCACAAAAAATACAGTTTACAATTCACTGAATGAGGTTATTGTACTGCATATTTCTTCAAACAAGTTTGAACTTGTTTTTCAGGGTAAATATATTCTTGATGATTGTGCAAAATTATTTATTAACGTCACTGTATTGAGTACATAACTCAGTATAAAACAACACTTGATAATAGTTAATTATTTTGTTAACATTAACATTAAACAATACTTGGTGAAGACAACGATGAACACGACACCTAATGAAACTTGTTTTGAAGTTCATGACTTTACCTTAGAAGGTTGGCAACAACCTTCGACAAGTTTTACTTATTATTAAATAAAAGTTTTATAAAACAATAGTGTAAGCAATTTCTAATTTAATTTATATTTAAAAAAAAGAACAATTTTAAAATCAAGCAACACATCCTGTATTTAAAATAAGACAATACATGTGTATTTCGAACAAGTCTCAGTTGGCAATATTTGAAAGCTAATTATGTTTCTTTTTGAATTAAATTCATGATTGAATGTAAAATTAATTTAAATTGGTAGGGTTTAACGTTTAATTATTGATAAACATTTTTTTATGAATTATAAAACTGTTCCAAGTTTATATTAATTTGATTTCAGTAGCCAATGAAAACGTCACAAGTCGATGGCTTAATTTTCAAACCACCTTTTCGAGCATTGACACCAGTTCGTTTCCATCATTTGACGTGTGACAAGGTCACGTGATTGTAATCGTTGGTTCAAATAATTCAAATTTGTAAACAAATTCCTGAATTATAGGAATGTAATAATTATAGTGTGTAATTGTTGCACGTGAAATAAGACTGATAATCCAACAGACGGAACCTATGACGTATCCATATCTATTTTGCGCGGTAACGACCATAAATTGAAAGAACGACTTGTTCGAAAACGTTGCAGCATTGACGACAGTATATTGTAAGTGTTCTAAGCAAGTTTTATCTTCGTTTTATCGATTAAGGGATTTATTTTCTTCAATTTTTAAGAAATAAATATATTCGTTGTACAAATAAAAAAATATTACATCAAAAGTATAATATTTTCAGTTATCATTTATACGATAACAAAATATTTTTCTTTGAGGCATGATTATCTATGGAATATTTAGAATATTAAATAATTAAGATATTTATATCATAATTTTTCCATAATTTCATTAATCATGAAATTCCCTTGACTTCTTCGTTAATTTTGAACAACTTTTATATATTGAAAGTAACTTTGTTATAGCTATATTGGAATGGAGCAACTGAAGTGGACAACACCCATTAAGAACGAAAGGAAACATGATAACATAACAATAAAAAGTCCCATAGTATATAAGACCCCTGTGAAACAATATGAGACAGTTACAAAGCATACAACATATCAGAACAACATAAGTTGTTTTAGCGTACTTCCTAAACATATTACTCCACCATCTGGTTTAACAAAATTCATGGCAAGAAACCCATTTGAAGCCGATTTAACTAATAGACTTCATTTGTCTGTGATAAGCCCCTCTGTTTTCAGTAAGGTATTCCTCTGAAATTCTTTCCTACTAAAAATTTAAGTCGTGTAATTGTTTTAAAAAAATCAATGTTGTTTTAATGTTGTCAATGCGATATACAGGTTCAAAGTCCATCTGAACAGTCTCCAGACTTTGCATGGAGCGTGGATGAACTGGCTATGATGCAGCCGGCAAGAATAGAAGAATATCCAATGCAACAAATACATTGCATTGATCCAGAGACTGAGGTAAAAGCTCAAGCTGCTATCGATCAATTCTTTAAGGAGAATCAAATTATACCAAGTCCATGGGAAATGAAGAAGAAAGATAGTAGAATTAAAACCAAAACGGATACTCCAACCAGAGCATCTAGTGACATGAACACAACATCTTTCAAAGTGAAAAAAGATGGTGATTATCATAAACAAGGAGAAGTATGTTTGGACCGTTTGACTTTTATCTTCTTCTTTCAGGGTGGAGTCAAACAGTATTATCATTGCCGCCTAATTTACCACCGGATGTCGCCGAAGCTTTGAAACCTTACTTTACTTTCACTCAAGTAAAAGATCATGTTCAGAAACAATTAAGCATAATAATAAGTTTTCTGCTAAATTCAATTTCTTTCGTGTTTAGGAACAAAATTCCGACAGTGACGATGCGAACTCGAGCAACAATTCTTTGAGAAGAAAGTTGTTCTTTAATAATGACGAATGTGCGGAAAATGAGGAAGAAAGTTCTGAATATTTATCACCTGTAGGAATGAATGGTTCTTTTATATTATCTTCTAGTCATCCACAAAGTGGAATGTTAGTTGATGGAGTTCCATTGAAGGTAAATTAAGATTCTCATTATTTATAAGGGTTTTAAGTTTACATATATTTTAACCATATATGTTTGCAACATATGTAGGATTCAGATAATCATCTCCATACATCTGAAATTATTCTTGGCAACTTATCTCCTCCAAACATATCTCCTATACACAAAGCAAGAAATAACATGTCTTGTGAAAGTGTAAGGTCTCGAAATCGTTCAGTTGCTCGATTAGATTTCACCACAGAAATGAGCGTGGATGAAACTAATGTGAATGACAAGGAGAATACGAACAATCATTCTTTAGGTATTAATACATAATAAAATATTACCATATCGATGGAGGTAACTCTGTGTATCTTAACATAATGCAGAAATGCTTCCATTATTTAATATTCTTTTATATTTTCTAGACGCATCCCTTGACAAAGTTAAAGCACTTGACAATAATTCTACATACATTGAAACTAATCACTTGACTGAGGCGAAAATCGCTATAATGAACTCAACAAATCTTGAGAAGAATTTTGAGACTGAAATATTAGAGTTTATTTCTAAGGATCAAAACGATGTACATATGTTTAATCACTTGACTAACTCCTGCAAGATGTTTACTAGTGAAAACTGCATATTGCAACAAACAAATGCCATGTTAGGTATGTCTGATCAGCACAGTGTTTCCAATTCCGTACAGGATACTGGTTATCAGACATACAGTATGAGTAGTACGGTAAATGTCACTGACAGCTACAACATTACTCCAGTGAAGCCAAAGACTGGTTATAGCCATTTATTGGCAGACGACGAGTTCCGTCTGTCCGACTGGAAAGAGAACATGAAAAACATATTTAGTTCCACTCCGTCGAGATCAAATAGGGAAAGAGAAAATCATATATTTTAAATAATTCTTTTGTACAAAACATATGTTTCAAGTGTTAACTATATTTTTGGACTATATAAAATCAGAGTAAGCCAAATTTGACGAGCTTAGAAGAAATACCATACACTTTTACACCAACAATCGTGTAAGAGTAATATAGTACAATTTTTTAAAAACAATTTTATTATTTGTTCATTATATTTACAGTTGTATCATCATGTATCATCGCATGTTGTGTTTTTTAGTTAAAATTTATGCCAATCAAATTGTAATATAAAGAATAATTATAAATGAAGATCACTGAGAGATTTTAACTATTCACTGCCATGCAATATTCTCTCAGTGATGAAAAATAAGATATGTGTTAATGTATTAATAATATTAGAGCGTGTACAACATTTAATTATGTTTTAGTATATATTACTCCTCAGAATATGTATAATAAACTACCAATTCTTAAATCGAGGCTGACTACAAATAATATAGACAATCTAACAAAAGAGAATAAATAAATCCCATTGTATCAAACAATTTCATCATCGCAGTGAATTGAACAATACTTCTAAGTATTTTTACATTTTAAAAATAAAATACATTTTACACATTAAACGCTCAAAAATCCCTTCCACTTCCCGCCATTTAAAATCCGTTACACTACAAAAAAGGCGGGAATTTCAAATGTACATTCCAAACGAATTCAACTGTTCCTCGAGCTGTTGAACTGTTCCCATTCCGGCCAATCTTCCAAAAATTACAGATTCTATCTCACATCATCAACCATTCCATTACTCTCCCAAATGTCTCACCAAAATCATCCTACTACAAACAACTGTACTTCCGCGAAGGACGAAAAACTGTACACTCTCGAGGTCTTCGTCAGCCACGTCAATCTGCACCACGAAAAGATGCAGGGAATCGATCCATGTAGCCTGGGCGTCGATATGCAATTCGCGGACATGCCGTTGTTCCGAATTTTCCAAAGCGCGTTTCTCCTAACCAAACCGGACCGGAACAAAGAGACGTCCCGCGAGTCCAGGTTCCGCAGTGTTTACTTCAACGCTGGCAAAGTGTACACGTTCAGCAGGGTGCCCGAGGAGCTGGTGCAGAAGATGCGAGCGAAGCCTCTGCTCCTGGACGTCTACAAAGTGAAGGAGATTCTTATATGTCCCGAGGAGGTGATCAAGCATCCTCTCGGCAGCTCGAAGATCCCCATGTCAGGCTGCCTTTGCGACTACGCGACGATGATGAGCAACGACTACAGACACCTGCCGAGGTCGTACCAGATCGACAACACCTTCGGCCTGGTGGACGACGACGACAGGCCGTCCGGATACGTAAACGTATTCCTACGCCTGACCTGCTTCGGCACGTACACGACCAACGCGTTCTCGATTATTCGGCAGAAGATGATCTTCAAGAACCTCGGCTCGTTCAACGAGTTCCTGTGCACCAAGGTGCCGTACGAGGACGAAGAGGACAGGAGAGCAGCGGAGGCCGGTGACAGGTTCTGCTCGCCGGAGGAGGAATTTCAGCCGAGCGAGCTGGACACTCCGCCGAGGCCTTTCAATGTTGGCAGTCTCGCGTTCGTTTGCAGAGAATTGTCCAGACGGGACGGCCACGCGCCCGAGGTGGTTCCCCCGAATTACCCGCCAAAAATCCCGGCCGTTGACGTCGAGGAGAGAGAATTCGACGCGGACAAGGCGCGACGCAAGGGCTTCTCCGATGTTACACCTGTCCGCCCTGAATTCTTGATCGAAAAGAGCGCGTTCTTCGAGCGGACCGGTTGCTCGAACGCCTCGTGCGCCGGGAATATTTGCATAGGGAAGAAGTGTTGAATCGACGTTAGACTGGAATGTGGGAATGTGGAATGTAGTGTAAGGTATGTGGAAGTTTTGTAGATGGATTTATTTTTGTTTGGATTATTAATCCTTACTTGAGAGGTGATTTTTTATATATTTCTCAGATTGATGCGTTGTATGAAGTATAATATTAAATAACTTTATAGCTTCACTGTAGGAAATCAAGTGGTAGAGTCACCTCTCGAGTGCGAAGGGTTAATATACTTTGTATGGTGCAGTGTTTCCCACGTGGCCGTCGCAATTTGATTTTTAAGGGGGTTTGAAATTTGAAATATCATATTTCACAATAATTTTATTTTCTGATGAGAGGATACTATTTGAAATGAACTAATAAAAAAACTATTTTATATCAATATTTCACGTATTGATGCATACGAAACTTGACACTAGAACTGCCAAGCAGTCATGACTTTTCAAAATTGTTCTGTAGAAACTGCTGAAACAATTTCTTTCGAAATTAGAGGAGGATATTATTTTGTTAATAATCGTGTTAGTATTATATAAACCACTGTGATTTTGTTACATCCAATCAAATGGTGACGGTCACTCGAGTGCAAAGGGTTAAATTTTTTGTTAAATTTTTTGTGTTTACGGTGAAAATGATCGACCGTTTGAACGAAAGCTGTTCGTTTAATGCATAGGCGGTCTCTGAAGATGTCGCGTGCATAGTGTTCCCTCCTTCCCTCTCGCACGCTTGCAAGCGGTATAAGTCACTTTCCGTGGCGAGCCAAATACAGTGGAGTGTGTACAGGGCGACCACTCCTTTTAATCATGAAATTTTTTCTGCGGTGCATTCAACGGGAGCAATAAATATTTTTGTTTCTTTTTCTCCCCGCGGATTGTTTCTTCGAGTTTTCCGAATACACATGTCACTGGCGGTGGATCGTGATATGTGGATTTGATCAAGGGGAAGAAAAACAAATTTGCCGAGGTAGGTGAGAAATGCTAGTGTCGGTGAACGCGTATTTTGGGCGTTGACCGTAGAATTTATTCGCGATCGACGGGGAAACCGTTTCCCTTTCGATCGCGTTTCGCGCGAAGCGGCGACAGTTCTCGGTGTTCGTTGACCGTCGCGAACGTTTAATCGTTGCGTGTTGCAGAAAATGTGGATTTTGATTTTGGCGTTAACCTTCGCCTGCGGGAACGGCCAATTCTCGCAGGAGCCGAACGAATCGACGCGCGTTCCTTGGAATCGCTTCGACGACAGGGATCAAACTGGATACGGTGTACGAAATGTTGGAGGTGTGGACAGCATAATAATAAAAGAGGCGTAAGTTGAACGGAATTATTACAAGGTTAATTAAATGACTCATTATTTTGATCACAGCCATGCACCTCGTATTACCAATGATTTATTTACTGTGAGAGCTAATTGTGTAATCGGTGACAGAAAAAATTCTTGTCAGTAGATTCCAATGTTGCTTCGGTAGTTTGGACAGGTTCAGCAGCAATTTGTGTTATGTATTATTGACGTTAAGTCAATGAACCCAAAGTTGAGCAGTGTGTAAGATCAATTGTTTTTTGTAGGACATACTTTGTGGTAGCTTCACGAATGGTCAGACCTGGTCAGATCTATCGTTTGGCTGTCAATGTGTTGCATAGTCCATTGCCGATGATGGTGCGCTCATCCATCCAAAGAAATGGAGTGGAAATTGCAGCGGACTATCAAGAAGTGAAGGAAGGGATTCCAGAGACCCTAATGATGAGAATGCCGCCAACTTCCGTCGTGGGAGAGTATAAACTGAGAGTGGAAGGGATGTACAATAGTTTGACTGGTGGTCAAGCGTTTTTAAATGAAACTAAACTTACATTTTCTCAGAGATCAATGACAATCTTCATTCAGTTAGATAAGCCATTATACATGCAAGGTGAAACTATAAGGTTTAGAACTATACCCATAAATACTGAATTGAAAGCATTCAACAATCCGATTGACGTGTACATGTTGGATCCAAGTAGAAGAATAATGAGGCGGTGGTTGAGTAGACAAAGCAATTTGGGTACAGTGTCCTTGTCCTATCAACTCTCTGACCAACCTGTTTTTGGAGAATGGATCATACAAGTGATTGCACAAGGGCAAGTGGAAGAAAAGACTTTCCAAGTAGAAGAATATTATCAGACACGTTTTGAAGTCAATGTCACAATGCCAGCATTCTTCTTTGATAATGATCCATATATACATGGCATAGTCCAAGCGAATTATACCAGTGGTGCACCGGTAAGAGGAAATCTGACTCTGAAAGCAAGCTTTAGATCGTTAGATAGAATTCATATGGAATCGGGTTCTGAAGCTACCGAAAGATATTTCTTCTTCGATGAAGAGTATCCGTCATGGTTAAAAATATCATCATACTATGATGAAAAAGCTCCTGTTCTCAGATTTTTTAACGGAACGTATCATTTTCGATATCCCATGGCAGAATTATTAACCTTTGTTCCATCTTCGAGTGGAGTGGAAGTTACTGTTACCGCAACTGTCGGTGAAAGATTTTTGGAAGAAATCATTACAGGATATTCCACGGCTCGCATTTTCAATTCCACGACGAAGATCAGATTTTTAGGAGGTACTCCACAGGTGTTCAAACCGGCGATGTCGTTTTCATTGAATCTGGTGGCGTCCTTCCATGATAATTCCCCATTGAGAAAAACGCAATTAATGGGAGCTGTAATGGAAATTCGGGCGGATATCGAAATGAGGACAGGTGGTCGTAGAACTATGGAAACTCAGTATTTAAAACCTTCAACAGACAATGAAGGAATTTGGTCCACAAAAATTGATTTAAGAAAACAGCTTGGACTTGAACACAACACAGATCAAGCTCAACAAATATTAAACGATGTTTCTTCCATGAAAGTTTACGCTTATTTTACTGATGGTGAAGGATTTAGAGCTCAAACGGAATTACTATTATTATCCCATGAATCTCCTAATCAGCAGCACATAAAAATTTCTACGTCTACCGAGAAGCCTAAGGTTGGGGAATATATGGTTTTCCATGTGCAAACGAACTTCTATATCGATACCTTTAATTATCTGATCATGGCCAAAGGTACTATTCTTTTAACTGGTCAGGACGACATGCAACATAACATTAAAACATTTGCTGTTCCAATCAGTGCAGAGATGGCACCTGTTTCTACTATACTGGTATACCACGTTGGACAATATGCTAACGTAGTAGCGGATTCTTTAACATTTTCTGTGAACGGTATTTCTCGTAATAACTTCACAATACTCATTAACAACAAGAAAGCCAGGACTGGTGAAAACGTTGAGATCGCTATCTATGGAGAACCAGGAGCATATGTTGGCCTATCAGGTATAGATCGGTCTTTCTTCACTATGCAAGCTGGAAACGAGTTGTCATATGCTACTGTTATCACCAAAATGGCACACTTCGATGAAGCAACTAACGGTACCCATGATCACATCTGGCTGTATCATGATGGTGATCCAGATGAAGTTGTCTACTACCCGTCTTCAACATTTGGTATAGATGCCAATAGAACATTCGATTATATAGGATTAGTAGTTTTCACGGATGCGTTTGTTTATCGACGACCTGATAACTGTAACATAACACAAGGATATGGAGAGTGTCTCTCTGGAAGGTGTTACAGATTGGAGAAAAAGTGTGATGGAATATTGGACTGTGAGGATGGTACAGATGAGGCAGCCTGTGAGCATAGAAATATCACTGACATAGCTCAATTCAGGAAGTGGCGGTACAATAGGATACAGAGGTTATATGAGAACGTATGGTTATGGAAGGACATTAACATTGGTCCCCATGGCAGGCATATCTTCAACATAGATGTGCCACGAAGACCAGTTCATTGGATGGTCACAGCATTTGGTATGTCACCAAGTTTGGGATTTGGCATGTTACCGAAAGCCATTGAATACATGGGTGTCCTACCGTTTTACATCAACGTGGAAATGCCTTCTCACAGTAAACAAGGAGAACAGATTGGCATTCGAGTCTCTGTCTTCAATTATTTGCGACACAATATAGAAGCTGTGGTTGTTCTGGCTGACTCTAAGGATTACAAATTCATTCACGTGGAAGACAATGGCATTGTACAATCATACAAACCACGCACATCATTTGGTGAGCATCAGTTCTTCATTTGGATTCCCGCGCAGGATGCTGCAATCGTCTACTTGCCTATTGTACCTGTCAGACTTGGAGACATCAAAGTGCACATTTATGCCACAACTGTGATTGGACGAGATTCGGTTACACGCAGCTTGCACGTGGAAGCCGATGGCGTTCCGCAGTATCGTCATCAGTCCATTCTACTTGACCTTAGCAACCGTGCCTACGTATTCCAATACATGCACGTTAATATCACTGAAACCCCCATCATACCGTACGATGAAAATCGTTACTATGTATTTGGATCGAATAAGGCAATCATTAGCGTTGTCGGAGACGTCGTAGGACCAATTTTCCCAACCATGCCGGTCAACGCCACCAGTCTCATGGGTCTCCCTATGGACAGTGCTGAACAGAATATGTTCAGTTTTGCAGCTAACTTATATACAACTTTGTACATGCGACTGATTAACCAACGTAACAGAACACAAGAGAAGGAAAGCTTTTATTATATGAACATTGGTTACCAGCGGCAACTGTCATTCATAAACAGCGATGGATCGTTCAGTTCATTCAGAAGCGATTGGAACCAGTCTGCGTCAAGTGTTTGGCTAACAGCCTATTGTGCACGTGTTTTACAGGAAGCTCGATTTTATGAATGGGAGAATTATTTGTACATAGACCCAGAAGTCATAGCTCAAGCAGTGTCTTGGTTATTAAAGCATCAGACTCCAGAGGGATCCTTCTATGAAGTTACATGGTTGCCAGACAGGAAAATGAACAACTCTCTGAATTATAACTATGATATAATAACACACAGAAATATTAGTCTAACAGCTCATGTTCTCATTACATTGCAATCTGTGAAAGATTTACCGGAGGGCTTGGGTACTCAGGTTGCTGTCAGTGCTGCGAATGCAGTCAAATGGTTGGAGAGGAACTTGAAGCTTATGGAGGAGCGTGGGAAGCCTTATGAAATAGCCATAGTTGCGTATGCTCTGTTGTTGGCAAAAGCTTCCACCGCAGGACAAGCTTACAGCATCTTGTCCAGACACGCTCGGAGAGAAGGAGGTTTGACATACTGGGGCAGAGAACAAGTGCCACTTCCTCCTTACAAATTGGAGAACCAGAAACCATTCCTACTTCCACGTCTGCCATACAAATACGACTCTGAGAATATCGAAACTACTGCATATGCACTGTTGGTGCATGTCGCAAGGCAAGAGACAATGATAGAGCCTATAGTAAAGTGGCTAAATTCCCAGAGATTAACAGATGGCGGATGGGCTTCTACGCAAGACACTGCATGGGCAATGAAAGCTCTGATGGACTATACGGTTAGATCTAGAATCAGAGATGTCAGCTCGTTAACTGTTACCGTAGAGGCAACTTCTCTTCCAGGACAAACTAAAACACTATTCGTTAATGACAAAAATCTAGCTAGACTCCAAAAGATAGAGGTACCATTGACATTCGAATCTTAATTGTCTGGCTAAAGAATACATGCAATGTCTTAAATGTCAATTATCTTTTATCAGATACCAGAAGCTTGGGGAACGGTGAAGGTACAAGCCAAAGGTGCCGGTTACGCAATTCTGCAAATGTCTGTCCAGTACAACGTAGACATAGCTAAATTCCAAACTCAACCACCGGTCAGATCATTTGATTTGGTCACCAGAGCTAACTTCCATGGCAGGAATCAGTCTCACATATCATACCTTAGTTGTCAAAGGTAAACCAGTTCTTCAGGTATTCGTCTAATTTACTTGAACCCTATTTGTAACTCATGTATTTCTCTTACAGGTGGATAAACACGAATGAGTCATCGCGCTCTGGAATGGCGGTGCTGGACGTGGCCATACCAACGGGTTACATAATCCAGCAGCAAACCTTGGATAGATATATCCTCTCGAGACGAGTGAGGAACCTTCAAAGAGCAAGGTTCCAAGAGAAAAAAATCCTCTTCTACTTCGACTATCTGGACCAGGAGGAAACGTGCGTCAACTTTACCATAGAAAGATGGTATCCAATAGCAAACATGTCGCGTTACCTTCCTATCAGAGTTTACGACTATTATTCACCAGGTATATACATTTCTACTGATTTAATTTATTTCATTCATGGTACAGTACAATTCATTTTTTTTTCCTTTCAGAACGTTTCAACGAAACGATATTTGACGCTCTACCGACGTACACGTTGAACATTTGTGAAGTCTGCGGTAGCTCCCAGTGTCCATATTGCCCGATCTATAACACTGCCACATTGTTAGCCACGCCGACAGGTTTCGTGCTGGTAATGTCCATCGTAGTTGTAATGAGATACTTTCGAACGCAGGAGTTCAGCGTGGGATAGTTACAAAATTGAACATAAGATTGAATATTTCGAGCCTTGCAT